CCGGAGATTCCAGGTTCGACTCCTGGCCGAGGAGTTTTTTTCGCAATATTTTAAAATTAGTTAGGGGGGTATCCGGGGTTTTTCATATGTGAGATGCAAATCCAGCATCCCGTATGATTTTAAGAATTGAGATTTCAATTCAAAAATACTTGTAAAAATTTACAAGTAGAATTCGTTACATGTATATATATATATATATATGTACACGCATAGTTTCCGCACAAACATCCTGCGAATGGCTCGGCCTTATTTGATTCCTGTTGACAATTTCACGAGCGTTAAGTCTTTATATATTTTATAGTTTTCCAAGCGTTTTTCAAATTTAAAATACCGTTTCAGAAATCTGTCGTATCGCTGTCTATAGACAAAGCCAGCTCGTCTGACCAATATGTTTTCCACGAGTCCCAAGTATCTCACTTGATGATTAACCCTCTCGTCGTCGAACACAACGGGAGATTTTACCTCGTTGGGTTTAATGCATCTTACGTAAAACGGTTCTTTGCTCGTCAGATTCTTCACCAGCGCGATCATGGAGTTACGGAACAGCGTACCGGCGGTTAAGGGTCTTTTTGTCGTCTAAAGAAATAGATCTAGTTACACATGTTTCTTATATCGCGCAAATAAAATCTCGCGCAAATTACAATTTTAATGTAAAACGTATATTCGTTTACTTTTAAAATATTCTGCGCTCCCTCCGGCCACATTTTGCTAATTATTGAATTACTGCTGTTGTACAGCAAACGTTTGAAGTCTTGGAAGAGCGTGTCTTTGTTCTTATCGAGAAAACCGTTAATGTTGTAAATCACGTCGCCGGCGTAGTGCTTGATCTTGAACTCCGTTCTATGCTCCAATTCTTTATCCATCGGCTTTAATTGTCGAGAACTATAGTGTTTATGGTCCGCTAATTTCTTGTCCATCGCGTCGAGTAGCATCTGGAGAAAGCCAGATTTTTGTACCCGTTATTTTTTTTTTTTTTTTTTTTTTTTAATTGATATTAAAATAATTTATGGTTCAATTCGTATGTCTTCTAATTACCTCGTCTGTGACTTTCCCAACGTTGAGACAGGCCTCGTCCATAATCGCGATCATTCCTTTGTGAGCTTGCTCGACCAAGTCGCAGATGATCTGATTGTTAAAATATTCAATATTTTGCCAGGCTATTCCCTCACGCTGATACTCCTCCTGTTCTTGTTTCAGAACCAATTCTGCGACAGAATATTTAAAATCGCAACAATTTCTCACGTCTGTTTTCGATTTAAAAAGTGTTCACGCACACTCACCAATAAAAAGTTGTTGCAATTTTTCGTTGCAATAATTGATGCAAAACTGTTCGAAGCTATTCGCGTCAAATATTTCAAAACCGTAGATATCGAGCACGCCGATCAACGTTCCGTATCTCTTAACGTTATCGCTGTCGTTAACGTTGATCGAGCCGTTGACGCGCGATACTATCCATGTGAACAATCGCTCGTACACAGCCTGAAAGATTCACAAAGATCTCTTTCAATACCCGACGAGAATCCCACATCGTGGAAAACGTCGCAATCAAAAGTCAAGAAAATAAATCCAGAGATGAGCGCGCGCAAGCTTTTTAACGCAATACCTTAGCCAAGGCGTCTCGACCGTACTCGGCTTCTATCAGAGTGTGATTCTTCTGCATGAGCTCGCCGCCCGCCGCTATGACTCTCTGCGATAGAGCGGTGCTCAATTCTTTCGTACTGATGGACAGCAAGTTGGCTGTGTCGTTCAAAGCACTTTTGTTTTCAATCAGAAGCTTGTCGTCGTTCAGTCTAAAAGTGATGTTACCCTGAAAACAAAAAAACAAACAAATGATTAAGCAACGTCAAGAAGATATTCCGATATTATGTTACGACGATTACGTCAATTATGTTACCTACCAGGTGCAGAATACCGGCGACGACGTTCCACACGGTCTGCGTTTCGTTCGAAGCGAATCCGAGGGTGGCCATGGCGGTGTTGACGGTTTTGTAATCGCCTCGGTCGGAAGTGGTGGTTTTATTGTTGTTCTCATTTCCGACGAAGTAGTAAGCGGCCGGGTCGCGAACCAGACGCAGCTTGTTCAATTCGGCTTCGCTGCAGCCGCTCAGTAACTATAATAATAATCAAGCGTGATACAGATTTGTCTCGTTAGATGCGATGTTATAATTTTGCACAACCGATCTTTGCAATAACGTCTAATACACAGCCGCGTCAGAACATTACGCAAGACATTTATCAAGCAGCTGCGAGCGAGCGAACCTACCTGATAGAAGCAGTGAAAGTTGCGCTCGCCTTTCTGCTGATAAACCACCCGCGACTTCTCGAGAAGATAATTGGTCACGTGGCCGCCTACGGGATCCCCCTTGAAATCGAAATTGATGTCCATGTACTTTCCGAATCGCGACGAGTTGTCGTTCCGATTTGTTTTGGCGTTACCGAACGCTTCGAGTATCGAGTTGGATTGAATCAGAATGTTCTTCACCCTGGAAGAATGCGGGAGAAACGCTATAATACTTTTTTATTGTTTGCCTTGTGTTGCAAAAGAAAAATATTCTTAATAATAATTATGTTTTAATCATTTTTTAATGTTTTATAAATGACAGTTTGTGCGAATTAAGAACTTTATGTAATTAACGATACCACAATAATGATTTTTTTTTTTTTAATACATTAGAGTCAATCTTATCGCGTATAAAAGACAGATTAGATAACGAGAGCTGATACAACAAAATTGTCATTTGTTTCTTGAATGAGACGATTTATTATGTCTACCTCTCGATTTCTTGTTGACCGCTCAAATTCGTCACGGCGGCGATGTACTTCATGATGATCTTGCTGGCTTCCGTTTTTCCGGATCCAGATTCCCCGCTTATCACTATGCACGTGTCCCTGCCCTGTTGCTTCATCTCTTTATGCACCGCATCGGCGATCGCGAAGATGTGCGGCGGATTTTCGAACAGTTCTCTGCCTAAAACAAGATTCAGAATCAAGAAAACTATTCAAAAATACGGGAAATTCGAAATTATTTTTTTAGTTTAAAAGAAATCGATAGGGTAAAAGACCTAATTACTGTCACCTGTCCAATTACTGTCACCCTAAGCTATTTTATTTAAAATATTAAATAAATCCTAAAAAGTTATGCATGAAAACAATCTAATATAGAATTTTAAGTGCAATTAATATAATAAAAAATCCAGCACTCAACATTCTTGTCTTATTTTCTTTCATTTTAGGGGGTGACAGTAATAGCTCTCGCATCGTTCTTTCTTAATTATTAAATTTATAAATAAAAATAGAGATTTTGAGAGGCGGTATTATTTTGTTTCTTATATTAGAGACATTGAATAATACCAGATACGAAGAAAAACACATGTTTTTGATAAATAAATAGTAAAAACAATTCGCTAACGCCTGAGTTTATTATTCAGGTGACACTAATTGGGTCTTTTACCCTATAACGACGCACTTCAGCGCGTACATATATGCGTATTTTGATTATATATACCTTTATATTTATTAATGTACTGCGCATCGTAGATATTGGTGCTTCTGTAAGGATTCACACTCACGCAAACTTCGCCGATGTACGTGTAAATCTTTCCCCCATTAAATCTGCAAACAGTGCGGAAAAGAAAAACGTGAGAATAAAGTAAATAAGTGAGAACGAGAATTTTGTTAAAATAAATTATTTTTCATTTTCGAGACGGGGTAATATAATTCTCAGAATATATATTTTAAAACACGTACTTTTAATAATTTTATATTGCGCGCGCGCGCAAAAGTACGTGTGACATAACGCACAAGATAATTTTCTTTAGGAAAATTCCATGTTTAGCTTTCGTGTTTCACGACAGCTTCAACAATTTGGTTTTTTGTCAGCTTTCCACGAAGATATAAGATTTATCGTCTTGGCAATCGACTCGAACAGATTGCCGATAATATATAACAATGAATCACTTTTTTACTCCAACAATTGCGCGCTTGCTAATGTAAAAATAATCACGTCTAAAAGTTGACGTTAATGACATCATACACGATAATTAGTATACACGATAATTAGTTTTGTCTTTTTCAGTTTGTACATTTGATACTTGTGAGTAAAAAATATCGAAGATGAAAGATAAATGAAAATAACACTTTCTCTCTTAAAAAAAAAAAGATCTCAAAAGATCTCAAAAAAAAAATCTCAAAAGATCTCAAGAGATCTCAAAAAAAAAAAATCGTTTTTTTAGATCTTTTGAGATCTTTTTTTTTTTTTAAGAGAGAAAGTGTTATTTTCATCTTTTGAGATCTTTTTTTTTTCTCAAAAGATCTTTTTTTTTTTTAAGAGAGAAAGTGTTATTTTCATTTATCTTTCATCTTCGGTATTTTTTACTCACAAGTATCAAATATACAAACTGATCAAAGTTGAAAGAGAAAAATAAACTTTGAAGAAAGTTCTATATTTAATTATTCAAAAAAAAAGTTAGAACATTATTTAAAAAAAACACACATTTTATCGCCCGTATAACGCACAATACTTGTTGCGTTGTAGATAATTAGTTACAATAATCGCGTGTGTGCGGCTCTCGCACACACATGACGAGAAATCCATACAATTCATACTTGAAAATGACGATGACTCATCGCCAATCCGATAAGGATTACGCGAGCCGTATAATATTCATGGCGCGTGTCCTGAGATACGCGTCGTTTTCTTCTGCGAACGCTCGCTGTTTGAGCATCGCCGCTTTACTTGGCGTCTCGCGTTGGCGTCGGATACGATGTATCAACGTGAATTGGCGGTGTTCAAATTGGTCAAAATAATCAACGCAGGTTTCACGTGAAACATATTTCACCAAGATTTTAGACAATTAATTCAATTTTCGAATAATTTTACGCTACCAATATATAGCTGAAATCCTTTATCTCTCACGCGTGTGCATTTTCTCGTACCCCATTATCGTGAAAGTTGCCGATCGATTTGGCGAACGGCAGGAGAGGGTGGTGGTCATTTAGTTTCGTAAAAACGCACACACAGACGGAAAAAGTATCCGGCGAACCTGTTTGAAATATGTAGCGTAAGAAATGAGCTAACACAAAATACATCGAAGTAGAATATAACACGTGGACATATAGTTACGCTCGCATTACGACACGAGCTGCGAGCTGAAACAAAAAGTCTACGATAGATAAGTTCTGTCCATAGAAATTACTTTCCGTAGATTAGATAACGTTGTAACACCCGAGAGACGTAAATAGTACGTTGTCACTGTTCGTTGTCTGTCTTTTGGAAAATTTTTCTAAACGAAATTACAATATCGAATGTTTTTTTTTTTAATCTCATCGAGATCGTTTAATTTACATTCTCTGAAAAAATCATCGCACTTTACGTCCCGGTTAATAATTGTTTTTCGATCTTATTTCTCGCTCGTTTTTTATTTCATTTTTTATACGATTGTTTTCCTCTATTTAAAAAAAAATTCTACACGTATCTAATCGGAAATGTCGAATTAAAAACTTTCTTATCCGATCAGACGTTTCTCACCGATTAATTGATCGACTCGTTTAACGCGACCCAATAAAAAAAAAGTATAAATATCTATTCGTGAGATTTCCCGTACGCGTTTATAACATGTCTGTCGAGCGCGCGATGAATCAGAGCGTCATTCATCTTTCTTCGTGAATTATACATTTCTCGATAAAATGCGTCACGCGCGTGTGAGTATCCGTCAACCTTCGGTGCTTGCAAGCGTATCCAGAGAACGTGTATATATATATTTTTTTTTTTTTTTTTTTTTTTATACGATACAAATTTTATCAATTTTCAGAATTAGTACCAAGAGAAAGCCGCGCTCTCTCTCGCTCCGTAAAATTTTTGTTCCAGTTTCGCTAATATTCTTTCTCAAGAAAGACATGTTTTCTATTTTTCTTTTTTTTAAATCACACGATTATAAATTAAACAACGAAAAAATTAATTCGAGTATGTAAAAAAATTTATAAAATTGTTACCGACATATATGAGTTCTAGAATTAATGTCTGTTTTTTTTTATCCTATATAATTACATTATTAATTCTATCTATCTCTCTTTCTCTCTTTCTCCGTGTGCGGTGTTCTCTGATTTTTGCGGCGTATGTGAGTCAAAATTTAGCGTCTACATTGAACTTCAATTTTTGAAAAAAGGAAATTTCGGACGCATAGCAGCGTCAAAGAGGCATCTACTTTTTTTCTTACTCCTTCTTTGAGCCTATCAGAGCCTATTTTGAGCCTGCAATGCGCAGTCCGAGCTGAGAATTGAACCCTACTTTAAAACCTTAGCAGGAAAAAAGGAAATTTCGGACGTACAGCAGCGTCAAAGTAGGATCTACTTTCTCTCTTACTCCTATATAAAAAAAGAGGAATTGAGGTTCAATGTAGACGTTTCTTTTTTTTTTTTTTTGTATATACATATATATGTACACGCATTACGTGTATCGCTTTGCGGTGGAAAAGCGCAAATGTAACATATTTTCCACCGCAAAGCGATACACGTAATCACGCACATGTGCAACAGGTACACGCGCATATTGCGAGATAAATTTGTCATCTACAAGTAACGAACCGGCACGGAAATTGCACCGAATCCGCGATGTCTACACACAATTGGGGTAACAAATGACAGCAATGAAAGTGCGATTGCACCGACTGCCAAATGGCGCTAATTGCAGTTAATTTTTCTTTTTTTCGCGCGCATCTCCGTGTAATTTGGAGAAGAAATAACAGTGTTTGCAGATTCTTAAATAGATCCGGACTATCATTGACCGAGATTAACCGACGAAGGTTGTTTCCGTTGGGAAATGTGGCCTCGGGCGGGGATGTCTCGTCTTCACCGTCGGCGAGACAAATTAGAATTCGCGACACATCGCACGTAATCAGAGAAAAAAAACACGATGACAATATTTTTCATGTTTTTATATTAAAACACGTAAGAGATAAGACGGAAGCGGACGGCTCAGCGGAGAGATATGTTACTTCATATTTCTTTTCTTCATTATCTTTCTGTGTAAAGTTAGTCCAGATTTGCTTCACGCGCATCTCTCTCTGTGCGATTACTTATATCATATTTTTCGTATTAACGCAGTTGACAAGGTCAACCGCGCACACGTTGTAACATTTAATCCTCTCGCTCTTTATTTTTTTTTAACAAGGAGAAAGAAAACTGCAAAAAATTGTGATTAAAATTTTTAAATTTCTCGTCTTTCTTTAAATCCTTAAATAACTTTTAAAGCGGCAAATTGTTTATATCTTATACATAATGTTATACAAATTATATACACGTTACGGTTACGCCGTATAATATTTATACATATATATTAGATCTACCGGAAAGTTCTGTCCGTTTTTGGAATAAAACAAAATACAAATTTTTCCAAATTTTTCAATCCTATCTTCCGAATATGGTCCGAAATGGTTTGCTGAGCTGAATTAAGCCTTTCTACGATCTCCGATGTTGTCGGAAAAGGATCTTGTTCCAACATGGTCTTAAATTTGGAAAAATTTGTATTTTGTTTTATTCCAAAAACGGACAGAACTTTCCGGTAGACCTAATATTATAGTACATTTTTTTCTACTCTTTTTTTTCGAATTTAATTTTAGAGATGGAAAAACACATCCACTATATAATCTATGTAATCTTGTTATCTCATTTATCTATACCTCTCATTTATACCCATCTTATCTTTCTTTTTTTCTCTCTCTTTCTCTCATCCACCTATCCTTTTACTATCAGTACGAGCGACCACCTGCTGACGCACAAGCCACGCCCTCTCGCGAGGAAACCGAGGAATCGCGACGCGTGCGCGCGGACGAACGCTCCCCCGCCGCCGTCTACCTGTCATCGCGTCCGCGATTATTCCGCAAACTTCAAAGCCGGGTGGTTACCTCCGGACAGGGCGGAACAATTTAATATGGGCGGCGTACCTCGTCTTAAGATTGTCCACTACACGCTCGACGGTGATCTCGTCCAGCAACACAAAGTCGCCGATGCCGACGTCGTCTTGGTTCGCCATCTCTCTTGTGCACGTAACGCGCGCGCGACGCGAGTCTCGCAGCTATTGTTATTTATTTATTTATTAACCGCAAGAACTTCCACCAACGAGACCACTCTCAACCACCACACGAACAACCACCGCGCGCAACCGACCCACGCGCACTAACGGTTGACTGGCGCGCGTGTTTCGTCGGCGGCCGACTTAGCTATCTCGATTCCTCGAGGAGTCGAGCGAACGGCAAATGCGGTCATCTTCGGATCCCTCGCGTCACCTCTCTACCCCACCTTAACGCACTCGGTGATTGGTCGATGACGGTGTGTCTGAATACTCCGCAACCCCAACTCCGTAGACAGCGGAGGTAAGTCTCGAGGTGGGCTCCGGTGTTTTTTTGAATCGATTTGATGGGAATTTAAATCGGTCGCCCTCCCCTCACCCACATTCGAGTGTATTGGCACGTAACAGACTTCTCGTACACTTCTCGCGTATTCACTTTATTAGGCGATTTTTGGCGATCGTATGATACATATACCAAAGTCTACCAAACTATAATTTGAAGTCACTCGAACTATAGTTTGGTACACTTCGGTATATGTACCATAGGATCGCCAAAAATCGCCTTTTGTCAGACCAAGTGTCGTCAAATATTTCGCTTTACTTATTTCTGGATATTCACGTGTTAGGATTGAATAGAATCTAAATATAAATAAAACAGAAACATCCAAAAATAGCGCGAGTTGCGCAAAATATGTAACAATTTATAAGACGTGGTCGGCGGCGGGTCTGCCGCTTTTTAAAGAAAAAATGAGTATTTCTAATAATAAGAAAAGCGAGAGAGACGAATAATCCGGCTAATACACCTTCGAGACGTACGTTCCTGCTTGCGAGGAACGCGCATGTGCGTTCTATGTCGTGTCAAAAGGAAGCGTGTAATGTGTATACGTTGTGTACACACAACACACGGGTGCGCGCGTCGTATCACTCTTATTTTTGGAAACCCGACTGTAGAGAAGCGGCCAATTGAGCCTGTCAGTTGCGCGGCGAGAACGACGTTAGCTCGATAACGTATGTGTGTTTTTTGCGCGCCCGATCGACAACCAGTGTGCCCAGTTTTGACTCTCTTACAGCACGCTGCAGCAAGTGGAGGGGATACGCACACAGGCAAGCAGCCGTGTACATGTGCGCTCGACGCTTNAGAGACAGTAGACATATCTCTGTTCTCTTCTATCGCCCGAAGACGGCCGAAGCGTCGAGCGCACATGTACACGGCTGCTTGCCTGTGTGCGTATCCCCTCCACTTGCTGCAGCGTGCTGTAAGAGAGTCAAAACTGGGCACACTGTCGACAACACACACCGAAACGATGAAGATGACGACGATACTGGATTGGGGAAACGAGACGACGTTGCTGACGAACGGCAACAGCAAGTTCGCCGAGAACGGGAAGAAGGATACAACAACGACGCGAATTTGGACAAAACTTCGCATGAACGAGTCGACGGTCAGCCTTACGTTCCTAACGCTGTCAATCTCGATGGTTCTGTGGAAGTTCTGCATTAATTACGGTGAGCGTAATGTGAACGATGACTCGCGTTATTTATTTACTTATTTATTTTTTTTATTATTTATTTTAATTTCCCATTTGAATTTCTGCGAAACGACGGTCTGATGATGCGAGTCGTCGTCTCGTTTCTCTCGGGCGACGTCCGTTGAGGTTATATAGATGATGAATATATATATTAAACGCATGAATTTTGTTTTGATTTTTGTTAAAAGGGCTCTACCCAGCGATCTGAACGATCTCGTTTCCGCAAAAAGAAGAATCGTTTTCCGTATAGTTAAGATACATCGCACGGATTATAGAAACTTTCAGGTTGAACTGTCAAACAAACACGCAGGTTTTGTTTTTTCGTTTCGATAAGAGAAAACTTGTGTGCGTGTGTGTGTGCGCGCGCGCGCGCGCACAAAATTGCGTTGCGTCACAAGGTCATCGTACAAATTTACAATAATAATATTTATATCGATGAAATTAAATTGCTGTATTTTTGTAATCGCATTTTCTTCACCAGTGCGTTTCGTTATTTGTTTCTCTCTTTGTGCTTGTGTCTATAATTTTGCTTCTTCTTGTCTCTAAAATAAGCGCACATTTTTATTTATTTATATAATCAAAAATAATTAATTGTATTTGTATTGGAATGTACTTATCTTACATTTTATGTTTGCCACGCAAAGTAAAATAGAAATGTACAAACTTGAAAAAACGTACGTTTGATATATTTGGAAATATTTACATTCACGTAGGGGTTTCTTTTGCGTTCGAATTGTTACATTTCTGATTGTTATCAATAAAAATTTTTGTTTCTTAACTCGATGTTATGTTAACCATTAACACACACACACACAAACACACACAAACACTTCACGCAATAATACAACAGTCTACCCGAGTCGAAATTTAGCGTTTGAACCTCAATTTTTGAAAAAAGAAAATTTCGGACGTATAGTAGCGTCAAAGTAGCATCTACTTTTTTTCTTACTCCTACTTTGAGTCTATCAAAGTCTGCAATGCGCATTCTCTGATCTGAGAATTGAACCCTACTTTAAAACTTTAACAGGAAAAAAGGAAATTTCGGACGTATATAGCAGCGTCAAAGTAGCATCTACTTTCTCTCTTACTCTTACATAAAAAAAGAAAAATTGAGATTCAATGTAGACGCTAAATTTCGACTCGGGTAAAACTGACTTGCGATATTTCTGGCAGCTGTTGGATAACGCAAAATGCTAAGACAATTAATAATCCATCATTTATTTAAGCTAAGTGATAATATCTCTGTTGCTTTTCATAAGATTAATAATTTCACGTAGAGGTCTGTTTCTTAAAAAAAAAAAAAAATCACCTCAAGTAACAACGTAATCGCTTCGTGCTTGCGTGTGTTAGTTAAGATATTACAAGACAAGGATGATCATCTGGCATTTTTTTTCTTTTTTTTTTTTTTTTACTGCATTCCTGAGGCGAAATTTAAACACGCGATTTACGAGCGCGCGCGTTAAAGTGTACATGGTGCAACATGGCGCTCTCGAGTATATTTTTACACGTGGCCTATTTGGATATATGATACACATTCCGACGCGATCTTTTCTTTTCAAAGCGAACTTCAACGTGTGCGCGTTCGCAAGCACGCGAAATCCGTCCATCGCCCGTGACCGCGTTTCCGAAGGCCGCGTGTCTCTCGTCACTCGAAAAAGCATCTCTTTGTCATCGGTCGTGACGAATCACAAGATGAGAGAATCAGAAAAAAAAAAAAAAAAAAATGATCGGTGTGTTCTCGTTATATTTTATATTAGGTCTACCGGAAAGTTCTGTCCGTTTTTGGAATAAAACAAAATACAAATTTTTCCAAATTTTTCAATCCTATCTTCCGAATATGGTCCGAAATGGTTTGCTGAGCTGAATTAAGCCTTTCTGCGATCTCCGATGTTGTCAGAAAAGGATCTTGCTCCAACATGGTCTTAAATTTGGAAAAATTTGTATTTTGTTTTATTCCAAAAACGGACAGAACTTTCCGGTAGACCTAATATCACATTACTCTCTTTCATCACATTATTCACTCTCGTTACATCGTTGAGAGGAACAACATTGTGTTTTATCCGGTTTAATATGTGCGTCACAACATCGTACGTTTATATATTTATTTATATTAAGTAATTTCTGAAGAGGATCCCACCCAGGGATCGAAACGTCATTTTTTTTAACTTCAGAAATATATATATCAATGGTCATGAGAGCCTAAACAACATCTTGGTTTAGGCTCTCATGACCATTGATATATATATTTCTGAAGTTAGTAACTTTCGGAGCCTTTAGATTCTTTCTCTACTTTGTCTTTTTTTTTTTAAGTAAAGAGAATTTGAAAATTAAACTTACTTCTAACTGTGGTTAGGCTCACAGTGACCGTTACTACACAAAGTTTTTGTATTACTCTCTTTCTCTTCTATCCATTGTGACCATCTTGGTTTATTTTTTAACGCCATCATGTATCAGAGATTTATATTATATTTTTACGCGAAATCTCTCTCTCTCTCTCTCTATACACGACCAGAGATTTATGTTGTTGCTCTCTCTGATGTGAGTTTCTCGTGATCTGCCCTTAGGGAAACTCATGCCGTGGCAGATCAGCAATCGGCACTCTATGCCTTCGGTTACTCAGATGTACGATACAATACCGAGTATGTCCGTTCTATCCAAAGTAGACGTGAAACAATTGTCAGCGGATAGGTTCTTGAACGTCAGTGGTCAGTATGCGGAAACAGCTGCCGATACCCTGGTCTCGGTTTACGGACAATACAACTGGCTGTTGAAGGCGACGATGAGCGGGCTTGTGATAACCAGTTTCAGTTGGTTCATTCTCTACAAGGACAGCAGTATACCCGGCGTCAATCCACCGTCCCCCTTCAGCCCTTCCAGGCAAAGGTAAGATTTTATTCTCTTTTATCTCCGAAAACAATTTAAAGTAAAGTAGTTTTTACATCAAAAAATGTGCGCAATCAATTGATTCGAAGATATACCTTTACCAAAATCTGATATATCAAATGTATTTTTGATCGAGAGACGCGATCCCATAGCGCGCGATAAGAATTGCTCGTTGATTATTATAATAACCTTCATATTTTTCACGTATGATATGTATATATATTTCAGGCTGCGCGAACGTTCAAGGATACAGATAAACTATTTTGTTGGCATGCTAAATGGAATATTATTTTTCATCTACATGTGTCTTTAAGTCAGTCGGGGATATTGCCAAATGTCAAGAAAAATTCATTCTATTTTTTTAAACTATTATCTATTTTTTTTTAATTTACTCACATAGGATTATTTATTCAATTTATTTGTCACAACGTGTGGCCAGTAAACGTCGTGCTCTATTTATTTGAGTGGCATTCGTATGGTGTGTGAAAAATCGTAGGAATGTTATGGAAAACATATGGGGCGTAAATCCATTAGGGCATTTTATTGTGTTTGGTAGTTCGTTAAAATATTGATTTAAAATTTTACTTGATCAGACAATCTTTTAATTTTAATTTTCATTTTTTTAAACTTTTCAAAAATTGAATTTATCTCTCTTTTATAAATAAAACTTTTATAAAAAAAAAAGAGTAAAAGCACAAGAGGATTTATAAGTATTTAATGAAACACGAATCTCGAAATTAAGAAGAGAGTTATACAATATTTATTATTAAGAAGAGAATTATATACAACATTAGTAAAAGAAGTTCGCGGTTTAAGTGAAACAACGATTGGTGCAGATGTTTATGCAGAAAATATTGATCTAATGCAAATTGCGCGGTGTGCGGCAATCAAAATCGTCAGAAGTACAAAAAACAGTCTGTTGTTCCATATTTCCAAACTTTGGACAGTGATCCGTTACTTGATTAAGACTGATGGATTATCGAACTCAGACATGTTCAAACGCCGGCTCCGGAGCTGAAGCGGTGAGCGAAACTTTTCCCCTTTTCACCGCTGTACATGTCTGATATAGACTATACTATATTATTTAAATGTTACTATAGTAACATGTCTGATATAGACTATAGTAACATTTAAATACTATAGCATAGTCCAGCGGTGAAAAGGGGGAAGGTTTCGCTCACCGCTTCGGCTCCGGAGCCGGCGTTTGGACATATGTGTCTGATCTAACTAATAAAAAAATCGATATAATTATTATCGATAGAATAGACTAAGATGTTGCAAGATGCAATATTTTATATTTTCTTGCATATATATTTTAGGTGCTTAAATATAACACGGATATATTTTGCATCACTTTAAACGTGCTAATGTATAGTATTATATTTAATATTTAATGTTCTCGTTCCGAATATTTTTTGTGTCGTGTTTACGTATTGTGTATATATTTATAAATACATAAATTAATATTTAAATTGTATGTTTATACCTTATATGTATAATTATAAGTGCATGAAAATTGCACAAAATGTGTTGTTACACAACGAAACTTGTGCTAATTGAACATATTTTGGAATTATTAGCATGTGTGATTAAATTATTTTACACAAAATACAAGAGATGAAAGATACGTCGCGAAAAACACGGCCTCTATACTTAAACCACGGTGCAGCTTTGATATCGCAAATGTCAAAATATATTTGAAAAAAAATAGAGTTTACGTATTGTCTTAATTTCGCAAGTACAACTTGGAGCAGCAAATATCAGAACTTAGTCGCACACACTTGTGAGAAAAATGTAAATCTAACATTTTTTGCGCGATTACCTTCGTCTGGTAGTATTATTTTTATTTATTATTATTATAACTCGAAAATAAAAACTCCCATGTATTGTTTTAAACAACTAATAAGGTTGATACTTCTTTTTTGTAACATCGTACAGGGATACACACCTGTATCTTGCTTTGTGATTATTAATTTATGTTTATATATGTGTTAATTACTGTATATATGTATACACTACTGTACATGTATACAGCAGTCTCTCTCTCGCACGAAATCTCCTGTACAAGCGCATCTGTGAAATGTAATGCTCCTTATTGAATAAACAAGTTACGTTCATATGTGACGAGTTTATATTCCATATCTTGTTCGTTTTGTTTGTTTATTATCCCGCTCTATGGCGATGCAAAAATGTTAATTCCGATCCCGAATGAAGATTTTTAATCGATCGAGTTAAAATAGCACGCGCGTGTGTGTTGCGCGCTCATCCAAAAGTATCAAGTAAATTTTACGACGACTTTTAGACATCTTTAGGACGACGTTTTGTTTTTTTGGGGGGGGAGGGGAGACGCGTTTATCAACCGAGTTAACTCGGAGTTGGCAAAACTGGCGCTAAAGGCGCCACAACTGTAACGCGCATCAAGTTTGATTTCTGATATATTCGTTGTTCGAATCGAGGACAGAGATGCCAGTTCGCGGACTTTTGCAGCATGCAGCAGCAGGTGGAGGGGATACGCACACAGGCGAACAGCTGTGTACGTGTGCGCTCGGAGCTTCGGCCAACTTCGAGCAGTAGAAGGAGAGGGACATACATAGTCGTTCT